ATCATCCTTAGCGTGGTTAATTGGAATTATTGAGCGGCGCCTGGCTCTGGCAGCCTGGGATTCACCCCTGTTGGGATGCTCCTCACCTGCCCGCCCTGCACGGCTTCTGTGCAGCCTTGCTCCCGTCAGACTGAATTAAGCTGCACTGTCAGGAGCCAGAGACCCTTCAACAGTTTTCCAGCACAAGCAACACTAAATTAGTGTTTGGTAATAGGCTGCACACTGTTTTGTAATAAGAAAATATGGATGGTTCTATTTATTCCCTCTCGCTCCCTGCGATGATAAGAAATGTTCTAATTCATTATTAATTTGTTCCAACTATTTCTGGTAAATGTAAACTATGAATAACTTTAGCTATGCCATTAGCAATACCTCAGAGCTATGGATGGATTTTTGGTTCTGGACACAGGCACATGGCAGTCCCATTGTTTCTAAAGGTGTACCCAAAATTCTGTCACATTTGGGAACAAAATCAGACTTGTCATTCACCTTGGGCTACAGCTGCATCTAAAGCAACCGGGAACACAAAAAAATATTGAGGCTGTTATATGTCTGGTAAAAAATTATTGTATCTTGGCAGCACTTGTGAAACTTTGTATATTCACTCTGCTTAAGGGTTTACCCTATCCCTGAACACTGGGCCAAATAGAAATGAGAGAGGGGATAGATCTGCTGCCAGTGCTAAAGCCTTTTGTTCTGCCCTGTGGACTAGTGAGGTCTTTAGTGGCATTTTATAGGTTTCTGGCTTTAGTGTAGAATAGACCTTTGGAATATTAAGTCTTAAAATAAGTCCTTTATTTGTTGTTGTTTTTTGCCTTTCATAATTTATTTTTCTAGTTTTCATACATAAATGATTGATCAAAGAACCACTGTCAGAAAGCATCAAGGATAATTCTTTTCTTCTCTTGCAGCATATGACTTTATTTGCGTGAAAGATGAGAAATTATAAATAAATCTATTGGTCATCCAAGGAAATTTTTTGTTCCAGGCATAGCGTGGTGGTACCTCCTCGTGAAACCGAGTCCACCGTTTGGTCATTCATTTATTTAGAAAGTGATTTGCCTTTGTGTTTGGATGGGAATGACTCTCCCTTTGCCTCTGTATTGTGGTAGTCATCTGCCTTCACTTACTGGATAGGGGGAGGAGGACACCCACGGGGTAAGATTGAACACTGAGCTTCTGTGTGGGCAATTATGCAAGACACAGGCAACCCACTGGCCTTGTCTCTCACCATGAGTTCTGAGCAGCAGCAAGAGCAGAGTGACTGCGCTGCTGGTGCTCCTACACTGCTGCCCTGGCAAGTGCTCTTCTGCCTCCTCACTTCAGAGAAGGAAAGAAAAAAAAAAACAACCCAGCCCTTTTTTTTTGACTGTTTGCTTGGAAGTAAGGTTATAAAAGGTAGCAAGGAATTACCTTAAAGATTCTCATCACAGAGACTTTGCTAATGCTTTAGGTCTCATGCAAAGAGGTTGGCAAGGGTCCTGGCCACCAAGTGAGGCTGCTCCTATCGTCTCTTGAGAGATTTATAGTTCTAATACTGTCCCTGGTTGTTGCTCTCTGGGATTTTTTGTAGTTTGTACATTCTGCCCAGAACATCCCTGGGTGACCAAGCTCATCTGAATTGCAGCTTTGTCCCTTTGGGCATGAGGAAGCACATGGATGTTTGTGCTTTCTCCAGTGTGCCTGAGCATTTTGCTGCTTTTAACTAAAGAAAGCGTGAGAGGGAATGGTTTAATAAAAGAAAAAACACTCTCTGAATGAAATACTTCAGCTCTTCCTGTCCCTGAGCAGACTGACATCTAGCCTACAGGAGGGAAGTAGGGCTTTCTCACCTCTGCTGCAGGTTCAATGTCTTGGCTGGAAGTGCTGAAATGTCCTCCAAGCTGTGCTTGAGCTATAATATCCTCTGTTCTGCTGCCAGGCTATCTCTAATCAGCCTTTTTCAGATGACCACAGCTACAGCTGGATGATTTAATGGATGGGTTAATCTCCCCTCTGACAAGTTCATCCTTCCCGGGAGTTGGCCCTTGGGGAGGAAAAGGAGTCAGGAAAGCCAAGAAAAAGTGAGGGCTGGTGTTATTTTGTGAAACTGGTGCAGCCAAGTATTCATTGGCATACTGGTTAGCAATAGGTTTCCCAAACCACTCCTGTAAGAAAGAAGGCCTGGCAGGGATAGGTACCAGATAGATGATAAACTCATAATATGTATGTGTGTCAGAGAGAGAGAGACAGCTGGTTTGGCAGGATTGCTTGCTTTTGAGAAAGAAGAATTTCTCCCTTTCTATGTTGGCAGAAATACATTTGTCCTTTCATGATAAAATTATGTATTCCATGTACATAAATTCTTCCAGGTTATTTTAAAAACATGCAGCTAAATTGGGGCATACTGAAAAAAACATGAATATAGTGGCTGGACATTCAACCAGTGTGTATGAGGTATCTGGCTTTAAGGACCAATAGAGTTTCCTGACAGTTTGATAAATTACTCATAATATATTTTATAAAATATGCATAAATATAAAAAGGGGGTTTCTGAGGAGTCAAAAAGATGTCCATCATGGTACACGATGAAATATGTTCCTTTGAATTAGAACTATAGCAGCAAGGTTTCCAGCAGTCAGCTGCAGTCAGGCTTGACAAGGCTTACAGAATGTAAGCTCCCCTAGAAACTTCTATAGAATTATAATGCTGTAGTTAATAAAATAGATATTTAAAATAGAATAGTTAGATAAATTAAAAGGTCTAATTTAAGCTGGTACAGGGAAGATGAAAGAAATTCTGCCAATAAAAAAACCCCTGCTTTTCTTTAGATGCTGCCTTAGGAATTTGCCCTAGAGGCAAGTATTATATACCTTAAATCCCTCTCAGCCTTGAGATGACAGTTATTAAGAAATTTACTTGTACGCAGAGACCAGATTAGAACCTTTACTTCCTCAGCCTAAACCGCAGTCATGTCCTAATCACATTCACTGTGCACACACACCCCTGTGACGTAGACTGAGATGCTGTGAAACTTTTATTGGTACAAACTGTGTGTGAGTTACTCACCACAAGTGGCAGCTCAGAAGATGCATTTTTTGCAAACCATCCTGACATTGCTGCTGCATGCTCGGTACCACCAGGGTGGCATAGGGTCTCCGTGTGGGGTCTGTAGCTTCAGGTTTGTTTTATGGGTATCTCTGCCTCTGTGCTGCTAATGCCTGCTATTTCAGGCATCCTCATACTTTCTGTAAGGATCCTGGGGAGTGGGGATGGAGGACAGGAAATGCAGCTGTATCTATCAAAAGTAGCTGAAAGTAGCTTTTTTAAAGTGAAAACAGCCACAGCTTTAAAATGCATTACCTGTGTGTGTCTCGTCTCTTTGGAGAGAAGGAATGTTTTTCTTGTCGTTTAGACGGAGTGTGCGTTCAAGCCTTCATCCTGACGTGATTCACACAGTCCTGGCCACACAGGTTTCTAGAAAAGCCCGTGTTTACCCCTGCTACCGCCGAGCCATGACAAAGGAAACCAAAAATCCCCACCACAAACCCCACCAGCCCCCAGGCCCGACGCAGGGGGGCAGCGGGCCGCCTTTCCTGCTGGCCGCTCTCACAGCCGGGCGCGGGGGGTTCACTGCAGCCCAGCCCAGCCCGGCCCGGCCCGGCCGGGGCACAGGGCAGCCCCGGCCCGCCCGACGGCGGCTCCGCGGCTTGGCCGCAGGCGCGCAGCTGCCGCGCGGTGGCGCCCTCCGCTCACGGACCGTGCGGCCGCGGGCGCGGCGGGCGGCGGGGAAGCCCCGGCGCGGTGCGGGACCGGCGGCGGCCGCGGGGCGCCCCTTTTCCTACCGGGAGCGGTGACCCTTTCCCGAGGGGGAGCGGTGGGATGGTCCGTTCCCCAGCGGGAGAGGCGCGGTGACCGCTTCCCCGGCAGCCCTGCCGGGCGCCCTGCCCTGCCCCGCCCCGTTCCCTCTCCAGCCAGCGGTCCATCGCGGCCCGAAAGGCCCGGCACAGAATGACAACGAGGACAGCGTCCAGCTCCGTCCCTAGTCCCGCATCCCCGCCCGGGATTGCGTCTTAGGGCATTTCTACGGGAATCATTCATTCACGTCAAATTTCCTTTATCTCCGGAAAATATTGAAACCTTAAATGACCGTAATAGGAATGTAATTGTATGGTGTGTTCTTTGTTGTTGTTGTTTTAGAGAAATCGATTTCGGCTCAGATAACCCATCCAAGCACGTTACACCAAACCCATTCAAATAGGAAACAGGAGAACTATATTATTGCTGCTTCCTGAACTATCTGGTTATGATCCCAATAATTAAAATGTCTAGTAATGGCTCCTGAAGCCTGTATTTCTTTGGGTAATTCTCGGAAATGAAGGGCACATTTTCGGTCGCGGAGGGAGGGGAGTGCGGAGACAAGCAGCAATTGCAGCGGCTGGGAGCCCGCCGGTGGCCCGCGCCCGGCGCATCACTTCGGGGGAAAATTATTCCGGCGGCGGGGAAGTCCCCAGAGAAGGGATTTCCTTCCCGGTCCCTCAGGCAAATCAACTTCTTTTTTTTTTTTTTTTTCCCCTCATGGCGATGCTCTTCCCTCCCTCTCTGCCAAGTGCTGCGAGCCGCACATCTGTCTCTGCACAAGGCGGAGAGACGAAAGGGTCGGGCCATGGGAGTGAGGGGAAAAGCCGCCCCCCTCCTCCCCGGGCAGAGCCGGCCGAGCGTGGGACCCTCCCCGCGGCTGGGCCGTGGGTTTGTCCCTTACGCGGCTTCAATACACGCAGAGCGGTCACCCCGCTGCTGGTTTCCTCGGGAGGGATGCCTTGTGTAATAGGAACAATACTAGCAATCCTTAAAAAAAAAAAAAAAAGACAAAGAAAAAAGATACAAGAAAAAAAGAAAGGAAAAAAAATTAAATGGGGGCCTGGAAAAAAAATTAGGCACTTAAATTCTTAAATCTCCGCGGAAGTGGGGGTTTCCGCGGCGGGGCTGCTCCGCCTGCGCGCTCAGCGCCGGGCGGCTCCGCGGGGGCCTGCGCCCAGCGGCGGCCCCGGGCTGCGTGCGGGCTGAGCTGGCCCCGCGGAAAGACCCGGAGAAAGCCGTGGGGGAGCCCAACAAGCCGGGGGACCCCCACCCCACCCCTCGCTGCTCTCCTCCGCTTCCCTTCCCACGTCAGGTAAAACTTTATTGTGGCGAACATCCTTTTAGGTTTGCGCGGTGGGGCTTTTCTGCGTGTTTGTTTGATTGTTAGGTTTTCTTTTTCTATTTTTTTTTTTTTGGTGGTGGGGGGAGGAAGTGTGAGTTGGTGTTTATGAGAAGCTTTATGACTCCTGATAAGCTCATCTTTGAGGACGACACAGAACTGTGTTCCTTGAGGAATTGGGGTGGTGACGTCTTTTCTGATACCCGATTATTACGTGACTGAGAAAAAAAAAAAGGCATTTGATTCATGAATAAAAATCCGGACACCACTACGGGGCAACAAACAATATTGCCCGTCCTCTAAGGTAACAAGCAGGCAAATGTTTACGAAGAGGGCTCTTGCCGAAGCGGGGTGTTTGCAAAGATTTTCTTGCTAATTGCGTATCAGACGGAAGGCTGCGGAAGGCTGGTCAAGTTTGGAGCCACCGAGCAGGAGAAGAAGAGAAGGCTGAAGGCGCTCAGTGAGGGGAGAGATCTGGGGAAGACAACATCGCACGCAGCCAGCCCGCGGCTCCCGCCTCCGCTCCCTCCCGGACTCGCTCGCTCTCTTCCCTCTCCCCCAGCGCTCCGTTCTCCGGCGGCATCTCGCTCCATCCCTCTTTCTCAATTCCCTCGTAGACTCCAC